TGAAGGAAATTACAAAACAAGCCATCTATATTTCAGAGACTGGATATGAAGTTATCTTTCACAGGAAACCTATTTTTGTAATGCTCACTTTTTACTGTATGGTAACTTTTTAATAATATACTTTACAGAGGTGAAAATCCCATTTTTAAGTCTAGTTGAGGTTTTATATTGAAAACTGCAGTACATCAAACAAATGCACATTATCTCTCAAAGGAACCATGGTAGGCTCAAGTTCTTACACGGTAAACTGATATAGAATTGAAAGCAAATTTTTTAGCTGGAAAAAAAAAGAGAAATGTTAACACTAACAGAAAGATAGCTTTTCAGTCAAAAGCTTACACATAAAAAGCCCCATTTTTATAATTGCCATTATTACTCTTAAAATAATGTCAGATTTTAGAATAATACCTTAGCAGCCAATTTCTATGAGAAAGTACTTGCAAAACTTATTTTCATATTTTTCAATATTACATTCAAATGGTTTGGTAATAGTGGCAGTAGAGCCGTGTATTTGGGGAAGAAATGAAGACAAAGTGAGCAATAACAATACGGTGGGAAATCTTTATGCTTGTTATTTGCTACAGTAAGACAAGACAACTCTCAACAGAGCCTTCAGACTTTTTTCAATGAAGTTCTCCATAAAATTTCTCCATAGGCTTCAAACAGCTTGAATCAGATATCATATCCTTCCAAAAAGTTCCACGTGATAGATATAATAAAAAAGTACCATGCAGCTTTATACTTTTAAGTTATCTTTATCATACTTGAAGTACCAAGTAACTGATAAAGGTGCTGGAGTGCATATCATATATCAGATTTTATCTTAAGATATTTTGCAACTCAGCTATTATTATTACTGAAGACTAACTGTAGCCTGCAAATTTGTGAATAAAGTTGAAAACATATGTATATGATGCCTCTCTCAGTACACTATTTTTAGGAGTAAAGCTTTGGAAGTTCTATATGGTCCGTATATTAATTTGCTGAGAAATGAAGCCAAAATTCTCTTTATTTCTCTTATGAATAGGATTCTTTAAACAGTCAACAGGAATTCATTTTGAACTTGTATAAACATAGTTTTACAAGGACACTATAAAATTTGTTACATTATTCATTTCCATAAATGTTTCTTCAGTTCTAAGTGTGTTACTGTAGAGACCAATTAAACCCATTAAAAAAAATAATCTAATATCCACTGAAAAATTCCTTCCAAAAACTCTCATCACTGTAGAATGATATACTATTCACATGCAAAAGATCTGCATCTATACAAACACAGTATTTATAGCAGAATGAGAATTACAAATGAAATCATAGGAAGGAATTAATCCTACTTTACAGACAGAAAATTGAGTCACATTGTAAATGAGAATAAAATTTTCAAATACTTTTGTAGAATATAAATATCCAGTTCCATTTTAGAAGCTGTGTGAGACTTTTTTTTCTAAAAGATCATCTAATATTGATGTTCTTCTAAATCCTCTTTTATGGTAATTTAGGCACCTAACTGAGCTTTACTTAGGAATTCACTAAAGTGTGCGTGTGTGTACTGAGTTGGAGTTTGAAAAAGAAGAAATAATTTGGAGCTAGAGAATAACCAAGCTGTTGCATTATTTGCAACATCAGAAGTCTAGCATGAGTAGGTGATATATTTAGATTGCTCTGTACAGAAGAAAAGTAAAGTAAGAGCTTATGTTTCCTTTGACAAGTCTGAAACTTTTGTTTATATATTATTTTTATTAATATTATATATTATTATATTTTATATGCCCTCCTAGATACGTTAAATAAATTATTTGCATGTGAAGTCAGTTGAAGTCAGTTAATGAATTTTGTTATGTATTGCAGTGGAAGTTAGACATTATATATTTAGTGCCATTAACACAACTAAAATTGTTCAATACTTTTTTTTTTTTTTTTTAATGAAAGCAGAATAAAATACACATTTCAATGAATATCAGTGTTAGAATAAAAACATATATGCTTGTTTTTCCTGTCTCTTGGTATTTTAAAGTCTCTCTGAGGTACGGAGGAAAAATGTATGCAAATGTACATGAATGAATAAATAGATTTGAACTGCATTCATAAACTTTCCCAACCTTCATACCAAAAACGTATAGTCAATAATTAGTTAAATTAGTCAAATAAGTCAAGCCATTACAGACAAGTAATTTTGGGAAATTCCTAGATATTTGAACTTTTGTATTATCTCTGTCCTTGATACCTGTCTTTTTCAAACCTGTTGAATTTTTCTGACCTTCTATACATAAATGCATACACTGCAGTTTTTGCTGATCGTTGGGTATTTTTCATTTAATATTTCAGCCACTCGGAGCACAAAGAATGCCAATTTTCTCAATGAATTCTTAAATCTTAACATATTTTTAACAAAAACTTTTTTTTTCTTCTTACATGTTAAAACAAAAACTTAATTTGTAGTGTGGGAGTCAACTTTTCAAATAGTTTCAAAATGGTTATCCTCTAGGAACAGAACATAAAATCTTCAGCTTGTGTGTGAAGCTCTGATAACCAATTGCCAAACATCCTCCACAACACCCAGCACTAAAGTGGATGGAGTATTGCCTTTGTATGCTCAGTCATACTTACTGTGTTTTGGATGTGTGGCCTTTGTATGTGTGATTGCAGCAAAAGTATGCAAAGTTAAAGAACACATTTGCTTTTAGAACCAAAGTATACCTTTTCAGAAATCTTTCTGATTGATGTGAATAAGAAACTATTATCTGAGTGTATCTGACTGTACAAACATGCACAAGCTTAAAATGATGGGCACACATTTGGAGGCTGAGCTGTTTCTCAGTCTCTCAGCTGAATTGAGGGGTATGAAAAGGAAACAAGTTGCTCTCAGAGGTGTTCGGAACTTCATGTGCCAGGCAGTAAAATGTTTAAACAGTTATCATGCTACAGTTTCTTCCCTCATTCTTACTAAAAAGCTCACATCGTCATGCAAGGATCATGTCTGCTTGACTCTGTGGGGCCCTGTCAGGCTAGCCTCTGTAGCTGAAGCCCATTTAACCTATGAACACTCATTAACAGCATTCCATATGCATGTCCTCAAAAGAAGAAGCTGCAGTTTTTTGTGGCTACTGTGCTGTCACTTCTTTCTTCCCTTACAGTGAATTCTCTGTACTATTTTATTTACAAATTTAATAGGAAAGATATTTCATCCTTGAGCAAGGTATTTAAGTTCCCTGGAATACAAATAGAGACATAATAGCATCTAGAGATTTGGGAGGTGCCCTTCAGCATGAGGATTTATGTTTGAATACAACAGAGGAAAGCTATTTAATAATGGTAGGAAAATGAGAGAAAATTTGTAATGTTGCGAAGAAAAATTTTGAATTATTTCGTCAAATTACAGCAGCATTTACTAGGTTTAAAAATTATTTGCAAACCGGAGCATTTCTTTGGGTCAAAAATTGCAGTCAAGTAGCCATTTCATAAGGAGATTCTTGGCACAAACACTCAGTACTGAAACAATCACTTCAGTTCCCTAATGAAAGTGATTATAGAAATAACAAATGACAATTATTTTTCTGCTGGACTATTATTGGTGCACTAGAATTAAGAAAGTCCCAGAAAAAGCATTGTGACTACAAGTATAGACTGAAAATTAAAATGTTTTTATAAGCTCCCAAATTAGTCTGTTGACAATCCCAACTGTCTGTGTTGCTTTATGTGATACGATAAACACCCTCCCTCCAGGGTGGCCATAACACTTCCAGATCTTTCCTCAAAAATCTTAAAATGAATAAGTTGAAGTATCCACACTGAATTTGGCTGTTGTACAAAGAATGGATTAATTTTTCATCACTTGTATTTCAAATGTGCTAAGAAGGAATTAGCAGTCTGCAAGAAGACTCAGACAATTGCTTTTCTCTTGAAAAAAAAAAAAAAAAAAAAAAAAGATTTACATTACATTTATTAGAGTCTTTCAAAATTTCTGAATGTCCTGCATTTTCACTGACATCTACTGATGCTTACCAGCTCTCAGTTGGTGTTCAGGGCATCACAGAATTAGCCCATTACTTTGCCACATCATGCAGTATTAACTTATTTCAAAGATGTGGTACTGAAATTTTATATTACTTTAGAAAGATATTGGTACATTGGAAGGAAAAAAAAAAAAAGAAAATTGGTGCATGAAATTTGCAAAGATTAAAGAGTACCTTTGTAAGAAAAATAATAAAAATAATCAAACAAACTATAAGAATAGGTACTTGTTCAGGAATATACTAATTCTAAAATACTAAATCAGTCTTACATTTTACAGGGTATTAAACTTAGGAGAGATAGGGCCATGTACTGTTAGTGTTGCCAGTAACAAATATGCCCAACATGCTCTTGTGTACAAGATTTTCTTTCTTTGTTTTACCATTCCCCTCAAAACTAAAATTTTCTGCCAAATTATTTCAGTCCACACTTGTTTTAAAAAAGGATACCATTTAAAATGTCTTGCAGAAACGCAAAAAAGCTGAGTTTTAATATTTTTATGTAAACATGGTTTTTCATTTTGTTAGTTACGTAACTGCACATATAGAAAGCTAAAAGGAAAATATTTGTCTTAATATTTTGGGACTGGGGAATAATGTAGAAAATAAAATATAAGCTAGTCTTACCAATAAATAATTTTATTTATAATACGGTATATCTCCCAGACAGAACATGATTCATCAAAGAGAATTTTTGGTTTTTAAAATTATGCTTTGGATTCATTTTTGATTCTGACCTTACATTTCTACTGTAAGACATATGTTTTTCTTTAATATAAAAACAAATGAGAAAAAAATTGAGATTTCTATTTGTGCTGGAGAATTTTTAAAAACAAAGAAACAAACAAACATAAACCCCAATAAAACAAACAAACAAACAAACAAAAAACAACAACAAAAAAATCACAACAATTTTCACACATACCTTCACATTTCCTTCCTTTATCTTGCCCAGATTCAAACAGAATCAGACAGAAAATTCAGACTTACCTTCTGAATTGTGATGATTCCCTCCTGGGTGTCTTTGTCTACAGAAATTTTGAATACTCCCAAACCATCACCATCTACAATCTTATACTCCATTGCAGCATTGGGTCCCACATCTGCATCGGCAGCTTTTATTCTGGCCACTACAGATGCCACAGGTAAAGACTCTGGGACATTATACTGATATGATCCTGCGAAATTCAGAAATATAATAAATTCAGAGATTTCTGAGTCTGTAAGCTAAAATGTAATCTATATTCATGCAACTGAATATTTACTCAGGCTACCAGAAAATGTGTTTCAGTTTAAAATATGATTTTTTAAATTTCTTTTCTAGCTTTTCGTTATGGTGGATTTTTTTTTTATTATTTATTTTTTTTCTTCCACAAGAGAGAAATCCAAGACAAAGATGCATACATTTTATTCAACACTTAGTCATACTAGCCATACAAATGCCTGCAATTTTCCAAGGTAAAAAATACTACTTGTTTTCCACAAATAAAGGAAATAAAGCAAATATATCAAGTAAAATTAGTACAAAGCCTTATCATATTACAAATCTATATCTTGATTAGGGAGTTTACACTCCTAATATGACTAGAAACCAAGATACAGTCATTTCTTTAAAAGTAAAGTCACCACCTGCAACCTTGAATATTCCAGTATTTTCATTCAAGTATAAATCCATATATACACTGTCAAAAAGATATCTGCAGTCAAAAGGCAAGAATATCTTCACTTTCAAAAATGACTTGAGTTATTCTATCATTATTTTAAATTATTAGTGGCAGGAAGTCTGGTTTATATCGTTGGAGTTGAGTGGAGTTAATATATTCCGCCATTACTGTAACTTAATTTTGCAAGGACTTTATAAGATAGTGTAAATTAAAAAAATAATAATAAAATAAAAATCATACCAGACATAATGTTACTTATAAACTGGTATGACATTACAGCTGTGTACTCTCTTCTTTGGTTGGGATGATAGCCACCTTGGTTAGAGACAATTAGTTGAGGGAAGATGACTTTACAGACCTACAATTTCTTAGGAAGCACTCCACGCACAAGAAAAATCCTGATAAATTGACAAAGGAAGGCTAAGGACTAACAGTCAAGTTAAGAAATTGTTCATTCTGAAGTCCAGCTGACAAACGATAGAGATGTTTTAAGCTGTTTATTTTTTGTCCTTTTATTTGTAGTGAAGAAGTAAAGGACATCAATTAATGCACCTACTCTAGGAAAAGAAAAAAGATTTTTCCAAAGTAGTTGTAGTAGCTGTAGCAATAATAATAATAATAACAACAATGACAATAATAATAATAATAATAGAATTCTCTGAGAGATTTTCAAAGTATTTAATAACGAAGCCAAGTACTTTTATTCTCTTTAGGTATAACATAAAAAGTAAAGAAAATAGCAATGTTTAGAAATAATGCTACAATTCATGTAACTTACGTCGTGGGAAGCGGGGTGGGTTGTCATTAACATCAGTCAGAGTGACAGTTACTGATGTTGTTCCTGATAATCCACCATTTTGCCCAACCATGTCCTTTGCTTGAATAACTAGTAGGTATTGGTCCTTGGCTTCTCTATCCATATTTGGAAGGGCAGTTTTGATAATGCCTGCAGCAATACAAGCTATGTCAATGGTTGCAGAAGTAAATACATTAATGTGAAAACTGAGTTTGACCCTAAAAGGTAACAGCAGACCAATGATTGCAAAAAGGGAGGAAATAAATTCAACTCTGATATTACAATATTTTACTAGGAAATAAACTGCTATGCTACAAGCTTACTTTAAGTAGTCCAAAACCAGCATGTTTTAGTTTGTAGTACATTCTTTGGGTCTACGACCATGTTTACTTCACCTTGAACTATAGTTACTTGCATGACACTTCTTTTCCTGGAAGATATACTCTTCTGTTTGATTTCCTATTGTCTTACAGCTAAGAACAGAATGTTCTGTACTCATTTTAAAGATTCCAAGTTCAAAATTATTTCACAATGTCTTGAATAGTCATTCACCACATTAAGACTTACTAATATTGATATCATTCCACACTTTGCATATATATATGAAATTACCTTATTTCACCAAATATTTGCTTAGTAAGTAACTATTTTGAAAACATTAATGTGATTAAGATGTCCTGAATTTTAAAGGAAATACTGTAGTATCTGAAGTATTTTTTTAAATAGCCATTTGATAATCTGCATATAATTTGTAATTATTTGATTTGAAATGTAAACTTGAAAAAAGCTCCATGCTTCATTCTTTCAGTTCTGTTGATATAGATCAGAAAATAAATATTGCTTTTCAGAACGTGATGACTTTATGAATATTTCATGCCTGGCACATAGTAGAACTGCTAGCTCTGATTTCCAGAGAGGCAGCTACATACTCCAACAGCATTCCGTGTCAGCAGTAAAGGAAACATAAACAATCTAAATAAAGGAGAGGCACACTAGGGCACATAAGTCTTCATCTGATATTTGCTGAATGTTTAGTCACAGTTTTATTTCTTTCTTCCCTTCTGAATTCAGGACTTGCCATGGGCTGAAACATTTACTTCACAGACATTCTGGCATTATTTCACCTATTTGACAAGACTTTTAAAAACACAATTAACATACAATTTCATAAGCTTATTGTCTTTACATTAGTTTACCAAGCCCATTTTTTTTTTTTTCCATTACATTTAAATTGCCAGGCAATGATAACCTACCATTTGGGAGCTAATTATCATACATAAAGGAAATTTGAGTACAACATCAAAATGAAAATGAATGAAAACATTTCAGTCTCAATTCTTAAAGATTCTTAAAGAAAAAGAGAGACAAAAAAAGCCTACTATACATCATATCTGTTGGAGAAAAAGAAAGTACTATATAATACTGTAGAGGATTAACCTTTTCATGAATATATGAAGGTTTATAAACAAGTGAATGTATAAATATGTTAATATTTTGATACTACTTATTTCTGTGAGTTTAGGTGCTGTTAAACACCTACATAACATTAGGATTCAGGTCTGTTACCCAGAAGTTCTTTTTGTTTCATTGGTTGATTTTTAAATGACAAATAGGGTAAATATTCTGTTTCTCTCTTGCTGTGGCTTATCCATCTCTGAAATACAGATTATAATTTTTCTCAATGTAGAAGACTGAAATTAAGCAAATTGATTGATGGATTGATTGATTTTTTATTGCTGTGCAAAATGATGCTGTAAAATCATCAAGCCACAGAATCATATTATTTGTGTTGGAAAAGACTTTTAGGATCACCAAGTCCAGCTACCAACCTGACCTACTGATTCCTATCAGTAAACCACATTTCACATAGCCACAACTTCTTAAATATCAAAGTCTCTTAAATACCTCAGGGACAGGGACTCTACCACTTCCCCAGGCAGCCCATTCCAATGCTTGATCATCCTCTACATGAAGAAATTCTTCCTGATACCCAACCTAGATCTCCTCTGGTGTAACTTGAATTATTACTGAGAAAAGGGACCAATGCTTTCCTTGCTACAACTTTCTTTTATTTGGTTACAGAGACAGATGAGTTCTCCCCTCAGCCTCTTGTTCTCCAAACAAAACAGCCCCAATTCCCTCAGTTGTTCCTTATATGTCATGTTTTCTAGTCCTTTTGCCAGCTTTGATGCTCTGTCTGCATGTGCTTGAGCATGCAGACATGCAGTCCTTTTTGTAGTGAGGGGTCCAAAACTGAACAAAATATACAACAGAAAGGACAGTGTTTGTTAAAACAGAGGAATAAAGACTGCATTTTCCTGTGGCTAGCAATATTCACAAAAATTATGAAAATAATAATTAAAAAAATGCTTCAAAAAAATGATGTTTTGAACGTAGCAGTAAGATGGTGTGTTAAATGAGAATGGGAAGCACTTTGCTTTAATGCTCAAACTGATGAAGAAAAGATACATTTTCCACAACAAAACTCTATTTTAAAAAGAAAAATGAAGAGTTGGTCATGGCATAAATCTATACTGTAGGAAATCTGATGAGAAGGTGATATTTGTATATTTCCAGAATAATCTGAGAATAAAACCTATTCACAGCATCTTCAATTTTTTATTGTTCAGAAATACTGCAATAGACGGTACATCAGCAAGCTAGAAGATTGACAAGGAGATAAAAATTTCCATTCAAAAAATGTAAGCGTATCACATAGCTCAGATGTTTAGCTTTTATAATATACTCAGAAATATAAAAGATCAACAAAGCTCTAATGTATTCAATTAACCAAGAGACTACACTAATAAGTTCCTAGCATGTTTTAATGCACTTTTTCTACTTTCTCAGCATTATAGTAAAGAGAATTTGTAGAAAATTACCTGTCTTTGGTTCCACAGAAAAGTAAGGTTGTCCTTGCAATATGCTGTAAACCACTCGGGCACTATTGCCGTAAGTAGGATCATCAGCATCAGTGGCAGTCACTTGAACCACAGAGGTACCTGCAAATGTTTAAGAAACTACTGTACATATAAGATCCACAGATCCAAACAATATTCAACATATAATGCCAACAACTAGAACAGTGTGAGGAGTGTGAGGTATCTTTTTCATAACTTTTTTTTCTGTAATTCAGCTTACAAAATAAGGTCCTATTTGTAAACCAGTAGTATCAGTTATCACAGAATTTGGACTTCCCAAATGTTCTCAGTCTTTGACTCGCAGCGATAGAGCCCATATCACTCAGTAGTTCACTTCTTTATTTCTGAGTTTAGTTAGTGGAGAATATGTGAGAGCAGTGAAACGTTCTTAATAATGACAATGTCTGAAATATGTCTAAGTATTAAATATTGACTTCCCTTTGAAGTCAACATATTAAAATTTTAAATTATAAGGAGCTAGAGATTAAAATATAAACGTATGTATGCATTATATCTTTTGATATTAGACACACACATATATTAATTTTATCCTACAAAATTACTTACGTACAAGAGAAAGCTAAAGAGTTTATATTTCAGCTAAGACAGACAACAAACATCTGAGAGTTCCCACTAAATTCCATTAAAAATTATTTGCACTGTATCTGTGATGTTTTAGTAGCATTTGTGGTAATTATCTGTAATTTATCTAAAAGAACTGTCTATATGTTAACAGGAATTAGTAAGAAAAGATGTTTGTCTGCTTAGCAAAAGGTGTATATTTCTGAGAATCTTGTTCAAGATCCACCTCCTATGTGTTGTATTTTTCTTATCAGTTCCCATTTTTTTATTTTTCTGCATTGCTTCCATGATGTATGCTGAGAGCAGAATAAGACAACACTTGGGAGCCAAGGCCTTGGCCATGGTCACCACCTTTTGATAGGCAGAAAGGATTATTATTTCTCACTGGCAGATTGTCTGGAACATTGAGACCTTCCACTCAACACCTTAGGGAACCATTTGGAGGTTAAGTTGCAAATTAATATTGTAGCAATTTGGCAGATGCCCCCTTCAGCAGAGGATCAAATTCCCTGTTAAACAGGATTTAGTCAAAAGATTAGAGAACAGTCACAGAGAGCGACCATTTTCCAACTGAACACAATTTTTCACATGAGTATGAGAGCAACAAATCCAGAAATTACTCTTTAACAAGAAACAGTACTAACAAGTGACTAGGGTGAATTTAACCTAAGTTGCACCCTGGTCTGTTTTATTTGGACATATTCTCAGGAAACGTTCAAGAAAAATTCTTAAATCTTTTATGTCTCATATAGTATGTGCATCATCCATTTTCCTCATCTTTTCTGTCCTTAGGTAAGTAGAGAATTGTAAATGGATTTTGGGACAAGGCTGAAGCTTTGGAAAAAGAGAGGAATAAATGAAACTCTTTATAAAATGGTACAGATAACAAAGGATGAGACCTGCTAGGATGAATTCTAACCAAAAGTCATCCTTCATAAGATAAATTTATTCACTTAAGTTTGTGACCTAACTAACCCACATGCCTGACCTCTTTTTCTGCAGTATCAGTGACAAAGTATTATGATTGCAATTCTATCTCAAATTCTATTTTTCTTTTTTTGTGGATGATAATATTTTTGGACAGAGAATGTTACTCTCCACCTGAAATTTTACATTCAATAGATGGGAAGTTTAAAAAGAAAACTTAGTTAATCCATCAAGTCATTTATCTGTTATAGGACTTAAAATACATCAGTTTTATGTCCACAAATAACTAAGAGTTTTGATTCAGTACATCAAGCTGATTTTACAGATTGCTCTGTAATGTAATTTCATACTGAGATCTATTTTAAACTTTCCAATCTCTCAAGCTTTTGAGTAGAAGGATATCATAATGACTATTTGACACCTTGTACTCTTTGAGAAAGCCAGGCTTAACACATTTGCAAAGTGTCTAAATCCTGCCAGTGAAGCTTATCATGTCTGCAAATATAGGGAAAAGTGCTTATAAACCTCTCAGACAGTTACGCATTTACTCCTTGCTCTTGCCTCTTTCAAGAACTTCAGACCAATACAAGATCAAAATTACAATAACAGGCTCTGCAGTCCCAACACAAAAATTTTGGAAATCCTGTAAGCTTAGAAAGGTTTATTTACTGTAAAAATCTCCTGATGTAGCAAAGACTCTACCATTTGTGAGACACACAAAAGCCAGTATCTGAATCTAATTGGCTCTCTCTTAAACAGAAGATTTGCCCATTCAAACACATATATCCTCTAGAAACAAAAACAAACAAACAATTAAACAAAAAAAAAAAAAAAAGGCAGAAATTCTAATGCCAAATCTTTCTACACTCATCCTACTTGACTGTAATCAACAACTAGAAAATGATGATACTTATCTACTTCCTTTGTGCTAATTACTTTTTCTCAAATCTCATAGAAGAGAAAGATCTTTTAAAACAACTGCTGTTATCATTATTTCTTTACTCTTTTCACTCAAAAAAAATCAGTTTCCAGAAGTTCTATGTTTAGTGGGAGATTTTTGCACAAAATATTTTTTAAAAGAATATGCAGGCTAACACAAGGTTCTTTAACTATGTGAATAAACCTACATGTAGGAAAATAAGTTGCAAGGAAATATAATGAACTGAAAGATCAACAGTAAAGATTTCCAGATTTTCCCAGAGGAAGAAGATGTGTTTTGAAGAACAAGCATTCTTTCAGAGGATCATCATTGCAAAACAGAGATGTCCTAATTTTTCTAGTAATAGACTGATCCTAAATTCAATTCTTTATTTTCCTTAAAGAAAGCGTAACTAAGAAAACTATATGTATACTATTGATAGTCAATAAATTTATGGGTTGAGGAAAAATGATTGGTTGCATCATAGTTCCAAATACAAAATCATTTTTCAAAAGAATAGTTCATGTTCCATCAATTAAATTGTATTTTTCTTTACTCCTGGACATTTTCCCTGACCTTACAACACAGACGGTCATCTATCATATAAGTGTCCAACCTTAAGACTCAGAGGTACCATTTGGCAGTCTACATACAGGACCAAGCCTTCTCTCAATCCAGCAAACTCTCTGATCCAGTAAACCCTGTTCACTGCAGCATTGTTCACAGCCCTGGGCTGAGGTGTAAACAGGACACCAACCCTACCTTGAACTTTCATTAATAAACTGTTATAGCCTGTAGCTTCACAACTTCAACTTAAAATATTTCTCAGAGTTTGCATATCTGACAAAGGCCAAAAAGATAAATAGGGTCCATTCATTGAAAAATAGTTTTTCCTCTCAGCTGTGGATTTCTCTATGATTGTCTTTCTCTACCATTATCTAGGTCTTAGTAGCAAAGTTAGAATTTCAATTCATTAAAATGAATTCTACTTGAAACCATTTCATAAACTTTTTTATCAATGGCAGCAAATATTGAGGAGAAAATCTGTGCTGCTAATCAAAAGATGTTCCATTTATTTGTTTATTGATGATTGCTAATAACAAACTGTCTTTTTGGTGGCTGGCATACATTTCCATTTTTTCAGAATGTTTAAGCTGTCATTTTTAACCTAAACTTTAACACATATAGGTAGACATCAAAGAATCACAATTATCTGACAACTACTTCAGTTATGATATGACAGCAAAAGGAAGGGAAAACTTTTCTGTGGAGAGGACCTTTAATTTAGACTGATATTTGTACTTTAATTTACCTAAGTCAAGATACACAGATGTTTTGGACATGTTGCAGATAGTGACCTTTTCTGTGATGGGGACAAGTGAAGGTAAGATAAGAGGGTTGTTCATTTTGAGTTAGCAGTTCTTCAAATGGACCAGCTTTACATCTCTGACTTTATTGTTTTAGAAACTTCTGCACAGTGCTTTTCAAAAATCTTGTTATTACAGTGCATGATATTTGATCAAAGTTTTAAATAGATCTCTATAAGAAATGTGTGTATCTTCAGTTTTTTACATTTAAGGAAAAATCAGCTTGCCAGTTTTTGAAATACTAATTTTTGAAATTACACACTCCCTTAAAATTGAGTTATAAAATTGAATAATGTAATTAACAAATTACATATAAACCTTTAAATACAGCCAATTAGTAAAGACATTGACTAATAGAAGTTAATGATGTATAGTGCTCAAAACACTTCTATATTGTCTTCACATTTCTTAGTGATATCAGCTATTACTAGAAGTATTAAACACCATTACTATGAAAGTATCCATAATATTTCCTTAAAACCTATATGCAATAGTCGACCCATGTTTTAACCTACACCGTCTGGCATTTCTTGCTTCAGCCTCTGGCATTCATTCAGATCTCATGCAATTATACCTATAAAGCATTTCCACTCCAGGAGCACAAACAGGGGACAATGGACTTGGGGAGGCGGGCTTTATGCTCATTCCTTCCTCCCCTTCCCCATAGCCTTTTTAGTCTTCCTTTACTCATGGATAAAGCCAAGGTCAGATAAACCGAAACAGATGTTGTTTGTGAATGTAGAGCAACAGTCTCAACTAGCCGCTGGTACCAAGGACTTAAGTATGATGTAGAGATTTTCTTTTTTCTTTCCCTTCCCCTTTCTTTCCTTTTTTTCTTTGTTTTAAATATATATTAAGTGTTTCAATCCATCTCTATCAAGTGTAATAAATTTAGTAAGAAAGACAGGTATTTCTCTTGCTGAGTAATAAATAAAGCTGCTCATATGTGTGGAGAGTCTTGAAAATGTAATAAAGACAAAGCTATGTTTGGTATTGAATTTTTATTTCCAGCTATTATCAAGACAAACGTGTGTGTCTCACATCAGCTATTTTTGTGTGTAACATAACAAGAACTCTCCCCTTTTAAGTATAATTTGCAATTTTTTTTTTTTTGAAATATAATAAATACTGCCAGATTTTTTAAGTAAAAGAAATTTTTAAAAATCCACAAAGATCTTCAGAAAAGCTATATCTTTGATGTTCTTGCTATGTACTGTATGAAGTATTTAGTCTTTTCTGGATAATCAATATAATTGGACCTGACCCAAAGATAATTTGAACCTGACCTGAAGTCATTTCAAATAATAAAAAAGATTGACCTCAATTAGCCTTAGATAATATCCTAAAATATTTGTGAAATGTAATACAGAATCATTTTACTTCCATAACCGCCTGTTAGGTTAAAGGTTATGATTCTCCAATCTTTATGGTTAATTTGGGTTTATAATCCTGTGATCTTTTTCATTTTGTTAATATACTATTAAAAATCCTTGCGAATGGTATAATTTCATATTAAATAAAGGATAATTTCTCCTTAATATTGCATGAATGCTCTAGGTGATTAATTATTATATTATATTATATTATATTATATTATATTATATTATATTATATGAATAAACTATGAATCTATGAGACAAATGCCACACAGGAACTTCACGGTAATCCCTAATTTAGAAATCAGTAGTTGTGTGATACAAACAGTGAAGTTGTTTAAAATGTAGAGTCACAAAGTTTTTAAGATTAAACTGCCCTTAGTCAACACAGATTTAGACAGTGCATAGTTAGCAATAATTTTTCACAGTGTTCCATCTAAGCTGAATATATATTTGATAATGCAGTCCACATGAGACAGACTTTCTTTCAGTTGTTTATACAGTACAGATTTGGCAAAATGTGCAAAATTAGCTCCCTTTAAAATGACTTAGTCCTTATTTTCTCCATTGCAGACTACACATGTTACAGCATGGATCTGTGTGTGTAGGTAAACTACAGATATTTATGGGAGTTTTTCATACATCTCTATATGTGTACAGGAGAGAGTTAACTCATCCAAGAAGAATATGTAGAAATATTATTCCTTAGAGAGCTAAACAGAGCTGTAAAATACTAATTATTTATGTATTCTACAGCTCAGTTAATCAAATCCTAAAATAAAACAAATTAATATTTACAACATATTTTTAAAGTGCTGAATATTTATGTTTTAATTTTATATTATCCAATTATTTTTCCCAAGTGCTGAAGGAATTTCTCAGGAATATATCAAAACTTCACTTCATCCCTGATCTTTCTCAAAAACTGTGGTGTCTATCCTACTTTCCAAGGCCACCACTGCTTCTTCAGACATTCACACTCTGTTTCAGTAACAATGAAAACTATCAAGTATCAAATGAGAGAAAGCATCAAATGTTCATTGTTCAGTAATATAAATAAATAGAAAACTCATTAGCACTGTTTTACTTATATTCTATTGGCTCCTAAAGAGATATTCAGATGTAAAATGTAATGATTGCTACACAGTGCACAGGCAGGAAAGGTCTTTTTGGCTCTCTAGCTCTAATATAGAGTTTAGTATGCAAAAATACAAGGAATTGAGTTGAGTACACCATAGCAAATTCAGTTGTACCTAAGAGTATCAAGTTTGTATAAGGTCTAAAATCAGTCAGATACATTCCTAATTGCAATCACTGTAAAACTTTCTTAACCTGAGGATCAAGAACCTGAGTTTCCATGTACATATTTCCACTGACATAGTGAAAATTTTTATGCTTTTTGATGTCATAAACTTATTTAAAATTTCAAGTTAAACTAAAACTCATCAAAATGTATCTTATCTGGCCTGAATCAGACATCTTTTGATGGAACACTAGCATCTGCCAACAAATAACCATTTGTTCTTTTTAAAATGAAGAGATGGTGGACTTAATGTTGAAATTCTTCCCTAATTTGAATTTAGGAATAAAAGCTTCTGAGAGGGTTTGAAGCTTCTACCAGCCATTTTTCTATGATTCCATTGGAACTTTATCAACCATCTTCATCTGTACCCCAGAGTTTTCCACTTGTATATTCTTTGCAGAGAACTAGATCTTAGAACTGGGAAAGATTCACAGTAAACTAACTGTTAACAATATATGCGAAACTTACAAAAAATGCTATGTACTAGCAGGAATTTGAAGAGTTTGTTAAGAACAAACTTAATCTGAATAAAATGATATATTATCATCTTTGAATACCATACGATAGGTGTGAAATTTATTGCTATTATTGTTAACGAGAATTATAAAACAAAGCCTCTGGGCATTGGAATGAGAAATACAATGTAAAATGCTTAACTGTGTTCCTACATAGCTATTTGAGTTTCACAAAATTTTGAAAGGGATAAATACTTAATCTAGCATGTTATTTCCAGTTAAGTCTTGAAATATCTGACTGTTGCAGGTGGCTCATAGATAATTAAATAGCTTAGTGTGATACAGTAAAAAAATAATAAAATTTTTAAAAGGCAGTAGTAAAAGGTTTCCCACAACACCAACAGTCTATTTTGCACTTACCCACAGGAGACATCTCAGGAACTCCAGCAGTGTAAGGACCATCCAGAAATTTTGGCTCATTGTCATTGATGTCCTGAATCTTAATGACGAACTCAGATTCTGGTTCCACGGGTTTATTAGTCAGCCTATCTAGTGCTTGTGCTCGGAGTGTGTAGTAGGCCTGCTCTTCTCGATCCAGCCTCTTTGTAGCGTGAATATCCCCTGTGTTCTCATCAATAATGAAAATGGAACTTGCCCCTTCGCCTGACAAGATGTATTTGATGGAACCATCTCCTTTATCAACATCAGAGTGAAGCTGGTGAAAAATTGATGAGAGATGAGATTAACTTCCAAGAGAGTCAGTGGCATGGAGATATGTAAAAATAATTATGTCAAGCAGTAGTACATGAAATTTTATTGTTCTTGGAAAGATAAGCTGAATGCTTATTGTGCACAGCCCATGAGGGACTATTTGAATCTGTCAGCTTGCTCTTTTGAGCAAAATGATTTTACTCTTTTCTATAAACATTTTCAAACACATTTTATATTGTCTTATAGGTTTCTTGTATTGGAATTTTACACAACCACACACATACAAATGCACATACACACATTAAATACCTTTACTCTTCCTTAACTGTAATTATTTGTTTTTGTCAATTGCCCTGCTAAAGGTTGTGGCTTCAAACATATGTCACTATAAACTTGATGTTAGTTTGCTCCTGTGTCTGTATGGGAAATTACATGCTCTTTTTTCCCATTGCTTACTGTATAGTTCACTAAAATATTTCAAATGAAGAGAATGGATTGGCCAATGGTTCGGTTTCTTACTACTATGTAGCAGAACAATAACTGTACTTCCATATATTCTTCATTGCCATCTAATTTAAGAATAATACAGAGTACGAGAGAGACTAAGAAATGTCCTAATGCTGTCTGAACTACAACATCAAATGCCATGTGTAGTTTCCCTGGAAAACTTGAAGCAGACTCTGAAGAAATAGGTCAAAATATATCTTCCACTGGAAAAGCAAAACAGGTTTACAGAAAGAAGCTTTCTTCCTCATTCTGCAAGTTCTTTTAAGTCACAAAGATTCCATATTTTTTGTAGCTCCTTTTTCTCTACTGAGTCACAATTTCCTGTTACAGAATCTAGACTTATACAAACCTCATTCTTCTCAGACTTGTGTTAGCAATATAATATCATGTCAAAGTGACACACATGCCCCATGCTACTTTTTAGCTAGCTAAAAAGCTAGCTATATTTGAAAATAAGTGAAGACAACATTCTGTTTCTTTTATATTTTCTACTTGCTCTTCCTCCATATGGTGAGTTTAGTGTTAAATTTACTATCATCATCATTACAATGTCCTATTTATTTATTTATTCATTTATTTATTTATTTTTCCTCTCAGCTGGAATTGAGAGTAATCACTTCCAAAATACACTTGCAGAAAATTGCTATCTTGAGCATAACTTTGCTCATACTGACAGCTGCAAGGCTTTTTTCTATATTGGAAGGGAAGAATTGGTGACCAATTTTGAATTTTTCAGATGGATAAAAAATTTCCTACATGTTAGCTCAATTACACTGTTAATATATCTCCTAGTTTTGGAATTGCAGGGTACTCCATCTCAGTTTTAAGACAGAAAATGAATCTGAGCTTTGGACTGGATCAAGAAAACAGAAGTAGGGTCCCTCAACCAGGTTGGGGTACATTATTTCAGAATGTAGCTTATCCTCATTTGACTGCTGTGTAACTCCTGAGATACTTAAAGAAGTCTGGGAATGCTTTGGTGCAGTTTCTCAAACCTTTAAATTCTTGTTTCTCAGTACACTCAAGATCAGTCAGTGCTGACATTGTGAGCAGATCAAGAGATGATGTATTTCACACCCAGCTTCTTTGAACATCCACAGAACTGCTTATTCCTCAGCCATAATATTGAGTTAACTCAATAAACTATACCACTGTTCCTCTCACAAATCTGGCAGCATTAGCTCTTGTTAGTTTTTCAGACTGGATTGGAAGAAGTACCCATCTTTTTTACATCGGAACAGGAGTGTGTGCAAGTAAAAATCTGTTCAGCCTGTGTTTCTTTTTTCCCCTATGCTGTACTTCAAGATTATCCTATGACTTACACAGCATCATATAACTGAAGAACAGAAGCTATGACATACAAAGATTCGATGTTATAATCTCCCTGAAGAGATTCAGTTTTTTTCCATATTTTGTATTCTAGCAGAGCATTGGTCTTTCTGTGATGGCTGAGACTTCCCCATTCTCCCTGTAAAAATAATTCCTCATTTTACGGCATAGCTAAGGATAGGCTAGATGAGAGAAAGTGCCAGATGATACCAGCATACTCAGCTGTTTATCAGGTCGAGCAGATGTTTGAGTATTAGAGATGTGCAAGTAGATTCTTCAGGCAGAGATGGGAACTGAATCTACATCTCAGCTTGCAGAGAGTAACATTAGTTCTCTCTCATGAGGATGAAGCCTCATCTATCAGCACACCAGACTTTAGCACTCGCATCTGGATCTCATGCTGTAGGTCTGCACAGCCTCCCTTTCACCTTCTTACTCAGGGCATTTTGATTTAAATACATTCTAGCAGGATTACAAAAGAAAAGAGACCTTCAGAGGAGAGACTAGAACTACAAATCCTCAAAGATGCACCAAGACTTACACAAACTAGAGAAAAAGAAAAATAGTAGCTTCAGCATTTCCCACTTGCTCAGGTAGCAACTGATTAACATATTGTGTTTTAAGATGTTCCACTCTGAAGTCCATGAAACTTCAGGAGGGTTACACTACACTGGCTCATGCTCTAGAGTGACATGCTGAACAAAAGCCACTTTTTGAAACCATGCCTCAATAGAAAAATGCTACTGCACTGATTAGTAAAGGGGTTAGTAATTGCCTTTATTACTTCAAGTTTGAGGGTCTTGGAGTAAAGATGAAAAATAAAAAATAAAAAAAATGCATCTTTTATTATATATTTTTCTTTATTAAAAAAAACACTAGCCCTTGCTTAAGCAAGTAAAGCACCATTCTCTACCTACCTAACTGTAGAAAAGATGATTTATCTAACTATGGTACAAACAATTCTATATAAAAAAAACCTCTAAAGGATATGACTCAAAATTTTTGTGTGTTCATTAGTAATTGTGTGGGAAAACTTAAAATACAAGAGAACAATGAAATTATAAGCTATTCTGAAAAAATCCAAATATGTTTTATGCCATTTTCATTTCCTTCCAGTATAATCCTCCAAAAAAAAAGATCTTCAAAGTCATTAATGTAGATGCATCAAAGCTTTACAACTGAAAACAAAAATACTGGACCCAACAGTCCTGCACAGTATTTCCACAAAATACTGTACAGAGTTTCAAGTGTCACAATATAAGAAGAAGATAGAACTACTAGAGAGCATCCAAAAAATATATTTATACTGATTTGGACTCATAGAACCAAGATTGTTCTAGAGAAAACCGAAACCTAAGAAATGTATTTCTTTCCGTATCCGTAATATGCAGTAGTTTCTGAGTTTAGTCTATTCGTAGGTACAGATCTTTACATCACATGCCATTAAAGTATGTTAAACATTATTTTCAAGAAGGACTTTTTTTTTTTTTTTTTTTTAATCAGTAAGCAGAGGTACTGCACTAAATTAAAAGCACTTTATCTGGCCACCTCTTATCTGAGGTCTGAATGAGAGGTTTGTTATGACTCTGATTTTCACTTTGTGCTCCCTTAAAGCAGGTGCAAAATTTGTATGCTTTTGTCTTCCTTCAAGTTCTAACTTTGTAGATGTTCCTAACTGTGGCAGCATGGCTAACATTTCAGTGCAAATTCTACACATTCGAGTCTGGGGCCATGAAGAAGAAAAGCTCATATAGAACATGAAGAGTTGATGGGTTTTCAGTAGCAGCAGGATCCCTGAGTAATGACAGTGTAAAAACAGACAGAGAAAACACAACATGTTTCAATGCAGTCCAACTCCATAGCTTCCTGACACAAGAAGAAACACGCATATGTCTGCAGAACAACTGAAATGTTTTCTCAAGGTGGAGTTGCCTTGCATGCACCCTTTCCTCTCTTCATATGAAAGTAACTAGAAAGAGGGGAAAGGAATAACTTATACATCCTTATGACTGCACAGGCACCTATATACCTTGGTCATGTGGAAGTGGTTAAACTGCATCCTTATTCCTGCCTTCTCTCTAAGTATAGAGAAACAAGAAAGAAGAAAAAGGACAAAATGAAGAAAGAACATAGAGACTGAAGTTATTGTCTTGTCTGTTTTGTAGCTTTTTACAACATAACAACAGAAAACTTACTATTTCTAACTATCACGAAGCAATGGAGAATTGACTGTGAAGGAAAGGCACCCTGACCTTCATATAGAATTTGCCTATGCTAGCTTTTGGGGAGACTTAGAGAAGGAATTTGTGTGCACATCAAACGTGTAATTGCAAGATAAAGGAAAGGCAGGTAATTGCAAACAAAGGCTTCATTTGGCCTTTTCTTTTAAATCTTGTTCATTACATCAACAAAGTTTTTAAAACTTCTCTTCTTGGATTTAATATTTACTTTAGTTGCAACTAGAAGGTCTTTGAAATCCCTTTTCCTCTTGGATTATCACTATCAATAATAGTATTTTGAATTGTAATAACATCTAAATTGATGGATATTTGTATTTTCAGTATTTTTAACTTGTGGCTTTTTGTTTTTGTTTTTGTTTTTTTTTTAGATAGCACTGTTAACTATCAGAACAACTAAGGACTCAGTATTGCTGGTTTAGAACAATTTCAATACGAATAAAAATTAATATTTAAAGTGTAGCACAGTCATCGGGGTAAACATTAAACTAAAATCCAGTCTGCATGCACACCAAGTTTCTAAAATGTGTAAGGGCATCACAAACATTAGTTATTGATATTATTACTGTTTTCAGAGATAACTATGAAGCTCTCACTTTTGTAAACTATAATCATATTTCTTTATGAATGGCTTTAGCCATCTTTTTGTATTTCCTTATGGATCTCATTGCAAATGTCATGTGGGGCAGAAACAGATTTTCAACATTATCGATGTCAGAAAAACCTTGTGATTCATGATTCACTTCATACCTAGGCAGCAGTGAAGGTACTATTCAGCAGGCTTTTTTTTTTCCTTCTTTTTTTTTTTTTTTTCCCACTAAGTGTCATTGAGAAAGTGATAAAGTTCCTGATGGGTTTTTGTTTTCGTTTGCTTTTGTTAATATGTATAAAGCTATAGCACAATCCTGGATTCAAAAAGAAATATGTTCAT